GTGCCCCCCTCAACCCCGAGTCCTCGGGGGCTGCTGTCCTAGGAGGCTGTATGACCTCGTGTGTGGTCCAGCGAGCTCACGAGGCTCAGTTCGAGGCGGGGTTGCAGCAGGAGAAGGGGGCGCTGCAGGGCTGTGGACTCTGCTCACTCCTTCATCTGGCCAATGCACTATGAGCCAACCCACGCTGGAGATTCAAACACCAATCGGACACCATCCTGTCCCCAAGCAGCCCGTGGGGATGACCTGTTGTTTTACTCTCTAAGTGCACTGGCTGCCCCAGTGCCCTGATGTATGTTAACTTCCTGGAGTGGGGGTGGGGGGTCACAGGCCTGAAGCCTGGGGCAAAAGACCCCTCAGAGGCGGGCTTTTCCCACCGTGGTGGCAGGCCTCCCCCTGAGCCCCAGGTTCTCTGCCAATAGCCTGGTATCCTCAGGATTTTCCCAGGCTGCTTAGCAGAGGTTGCCTGGCCTGTGAAAGGGCTCCAGGTGGTTCCCAAGAACAGAGAACCAAGGAGTGAAAGAGCCTCTGCTCAGTGGGGTGGGAGTGAACAGCCCAGGGCGGGCAGGGGCTCAGCTCACCCAACTGTGCTGACATCAGGCCCTGGTGACACCCTGCATTGTCCACCCAGGACATTTCTGCTGAGCTCAGAGGTGGGGGAGGGGGACTCAGGATGGAGACAGCAAGTCAGGGCGCTCGTGTGGGAAGGAGCCTTGGAGATGAGCTTATTCCAGAAAGTGAAATGACCCGCCCAGGGCCACACTTTATAGCAAACACCAGACTGGGGTGAGTGGGGCCCCAACGTCTCTATAAGGAAGTGGGATTAACATACATAAGGGATCCTCCTAGGGTTGGGGCAAAACGATGTGGACTAAAATCCCCCAAACCCAAGACTAACAAACGCTGGGAGGTGTGAGTTTTGGGGTGGGCGGACACACAGCGGGGGCAGGCCCCTGCAGCTGTAAGCATCATGCAGGCCCGGGTCCCAAGGGCAGGCCCGGCAGCTTGGACATGCAGAGACACGCGCCCAGGCCTAAAGGCTCATAGGTCGCGTTACACCAAAGGTGCAGTTAAGACCTCAAATCCCTCTCCAAAGTCAGGGGCTTAGAGCTCGCCAGAAATGGCAAGGTAGGTATTCAAGCCTCAGGTTTTTTTCGTTTTGTTAATTTCCCGATTATCGACGGACAGCTCTGGTCTGAAAGGTTGGAGCAAAACTCGGCCTCCAAGGATACTGAGGAGGCAGAGGCCACTTGAAATTCACAGGTCTGGGATTCCAAACCCAGGGAATATTAGCACTTTCTTGCAATCAAGCCTCCTCACCAGGGTGCTAGCAATGCAGTGGGGACCAGTGTCTAGAAGCCTACTCAGCTCCTTGGGGGAGAGGGGGCAGCCTGTCTCCACTGTGGGCATCCTCAGGGCAGGGATGGGGCTTTATTTATCTTTGGCCCCAAAGGCAAACCTCAGTGAATGTTAATTTTGAGGAGCCTCAATCGTAGAGCACTGAGCCTGGATAAGGGCAGAAGAATTCCAAAGGGCCTGAAAGACTGTCCTGGAGTTATGCTCAATTGATATGTAATCTAACTGGGAGGACCAAACCCCAGACACCTGTGAAAAAGGAGAACACATTACTAACAGCCCTAAAGACAAAATAATTTGTTAAAAATGGTGGGAGAGAGAGAAGGTGCCTTGGAGAATCAGGAAAGTTTTCTTGGGGACAGATAAGACTTAAGCTGTGATATCAGGAGGAAAGGGAGCTGGAAGGCCAGCAGTGGGGGAGGGCTTACGGCTGGGAGCACTGTGGGGGAAAGCGCCAGCCCACAGGGACCACTGAGGGGTCCCCTAGGAGGCCATGTTGGTGGGAGGGAGTGTGGAGTCTCAGCCACCTCCCTTAAGACCCAGGCAAGGGAGCGGCTGGCAGGAGGGAACTTGCACGTGTGCTGTATCCACTTTGCTGATGAACCTTTCACTGCAGGCATTGGTTGGTAGCGATCACTTACAAATGGAAGCTATTCCTCTAAAAGAATCGAGCCCAGGCCTGCTTCCCACAGATTCAGGCCCTGGGACTCGGGAGTTCATTCCCCTTGAGGTTCACTTGGAGCAGAACTTGGCCTCAGCGGATACTCAGGAGGCAAAGGCAGACTTGGGAAAGCGGCCGATCAAAGACAGCTCACCCTTCTTAGGGGCTCCTCCCCGCCCCGCTCGTTTCCAGTAAGTCTGGGGTGAAATCCACGAGCCTGGCGGCGCCGACCCTCGAGTTCCCTTCTCCGGTCCCTCCTGGGGCAGGGAGGTGGTTAGCGGGTCCTGGAGGGAGGCAGCGGGAGCACCGCCGGGGCGGGGTTATTGGTTTCTAGTCCCTGCTAAGAATGGGGAAGCGCCTCAGGAGGGCCTCGCGCTGGGCCCCAAGGGGAGTCGCGCCCTGGCCCCGAGGGCCCCAGATGGGGGCCGTCGGGGCCAGAGCGGATCAAGCGGGGAGCCCCCCGGGAGCGCCATCCTGGCCGGCCTCCGGGCCCGGGCCGCCCCACCTGAAGATCCTAAAGTCTCAGGCTTTCAGATTTGAACCTAGGAGGCCGAGCGGCCGGGCCGAGGTTCCCAACGGCCATTGGCTGCTGTGGCGCCGTGACGTCAGCGCGGAGGGGTGCGGGGGGGAGGGCGCGGGTGGAGCCTGGGAGGGGAGTGTCCGAGCGGCTCCCAGCCCTGCGAGCCCGAGAACGAGAGGGAAACAAACGCGGGCGCTGACATGGGCCGCCAGCCCCGGTGCCGCGCGGAGCACACGGACCGGAGAGCGCAGCCGCGCCGGCCGGGCGCTCGGGGCTCTGCGGACCGAGGTAGGCGACGGGCACCCGCCTCTGGCCGTGACAGCCACCTGCGCCCTGCGAGGCCTGGGTGGGCTCGGCTTGGGGGGTTCGAGACCCGCTATGGGGCGGGGAGGATTGAAAAAGCCGCGATCGGGGGCCGTGGGGCGCGGAGAGGGGCGCAGAGACCCCCTACTCCTCGGCGCCGGCCGCTCCTCACCTCGGCGAGTGCGGGGCGGCTCGGGAGCCCGGGGCCGGAGCGGAGCGGGTTTGGGGAGGAAGGGGTGGCAGAGAGCCAGGCGAAGCCTCGCCCCAACTCGATTTCCTTTCCCCAGGATGGGATTCGCCGTGCCGGCGCAGGGCGCTGGGGGGTGGAGGGGGCGGATGGGGGTGTGTGACTGGGGCGGGGGGGCCGGGTGTTAAAGGTCCACCCCCTCGCCCAGGAATGGGGTGTGTGTCGGTGTGGGCAGGAGCACAACCATCGGCGGCGCGCAGCCCGCCGTCTCCCCGAGGGGGGCGTGTGTGCGCCCAGAGTTCTCCATGAATAAGAACCGAATTATTCGCTTGTAGTGGCAGAGGCGTGTACACACGATCTCGCTCTCGTACACACACTGCAGCACACGCCACTCAATGTCATTGGGCCGGGGAGAAAAGAGGGAAGGAGCTGCCTGGAAGGGAATGGCCGAGGAAACAAATACTCTCCCCCTCCTCCCCTCCCTCGCGAACCCTTCCCTCCCCGCCAGGCTCCCGCCCCGCCCGCCTCGGAAGACCGGGAGGCCGAGGCGGGAGAGGCCGAGGCGCCTCTAGGCCGGGTGGGGCCGGCGGAGCTGGGGGCCCCGCTGGAGCCTGCGGGGGTGGGGGGACAACCCGCGGGACCAGCGCGCGGGGCAGAGCGCTCCTGGCGTGGCCGCGGGCCGGGAGCGGCTGGTTAATGATTTAGTCACCCGCTTGGGGCTGCAGAGCTGCGGTCGGCCGTCCCTAGCTCCGCCCCCTCCCTCGAGCGCCCCCAGCCGGGGGTACAAAATTGCCCCCTGCCTGTGCTGCGTCCCCGTGAGCTCCTCCGCGGGCCGGGCCGCCGCCGGTGAGTGCCCTGGCCGCGAGAGCTGGGCGGGAACCGGGAACGGGGGCTGGAGGGCTGAGGCTGGGCGGGCTTCCTGGGAGAGGACTGAGCGGGGCGCGCGCGCGTGTGTGTGAGTGTGTTTGTGTGTGTGTGTGTGTGTGTGTGTGTGTGAGAGAGAGAGAGAGAGAGAGAGAGATGGGGGAGGGGTGCTGCCTGCTAACTCAAACCAGATTCCTTGTGTTTCCCGACGAGATACTGCAGCCTGGGCTTTGGAAGTTTTCTTTTCTCCCTGGGAGAGTGGAGGGGAAATACAATGCTTTTTCTTTCCTCGTTGTCACCCCTTGCAATCTGACCGGCTCCCGCGGCCCTCGGCTGCGTCCTCGGCGCCTGTTCTTTGCCCCTGGGTATCTGAGCGGTTGAATGGGGAAAGGGTCCCCGAGCTCTGAAGCCCCCGGGTCCTCTCGAGAGCGGTGGGGGTGCTGGAGAGAGAATCTCCCTCGTCCTCACCCCCAGCAGCCATCTGGACGGGAGAAAGCCTTCGCTGTCCGGCCGGCGTACACAATGAGGGGCCCAGTTAGAGGAGAGCCTCCTGCGAGGCAACTTCTCCGCACAGTCTGGGTTGGTTTCTAATACTCCCCACGCCTCCGCCCCCTTTCTGAGACTGGGGTGGAGGAGGGGACCACCGGCAGGATGGACTGAATTTTAAGAGAACAAAGAACAGGGCACAAAGGAAAGGGGGAGCTGAGCTTTGGATTTTCCCCAGAAATGGGGAGTTGGCTGGACCAGGGCTGGGTCCAGCCAGGCCTCTAGGTGGCCTCAGGGCTCCCAAAGCAATCATGGGGCATCCACCGGAGACTTGCCAGGCTCCTCCCTGTGGGGTACTAGGACCCTGCTGTGAGCGCGGGTGCCGAGTGGGTTCCAGCCTTCATCAGCTGCCCTGGGAGCTGTCCATGTGACTAGCCAATTAGTGTGGTTTATCTCCTCTGAACGTGGACTTGGGCCCTCTGCTTCTCGAGGACAGCTGCTCCTTCCCACAACGGGGCACCAGTGAACCTTGGAAGACACCGGGGTAGCTTCTCCTGGCCTTTCCAGGGATGTTGGTGACCCCTGCAGGGACTGGGAGGGGGCCTGTGTGATAAGGTAAGCCTGCTCCCAAGAGGTGGCAGTTTGGGTCGAGTCCTAGCCCCCCTGACACCTCCCTGAGGTCCTGGGGCCCCTGCTCCTTGAGGACCAACTGCTTGTGTTACACTCCCCAGCTCCAGCCTCTCCTTTGAACATTCCTTCCATTTTCTGGGGTTTCCACCCTTTTCTCTCTTTCTTGACTCCTCTTCTCTTTCCCCTCATTTCTATCTTACACACGCCCCTGCACGGATGCTCATCCCAATCTGATACGCGCATCCACCCTACTTGGGTCCTGCTGCCTCTTGGAACTTGGCAGTCCAGCTCTCACAGGGCTGGTGACCAGGGAGCCCCAAGCAAATGAGAGTCTTATCTACAAAGTGGGGCTGTGGGCGACGGGCGACTGGTACATGCTGACCTGGGCGAGGGATCTTAGACCCTTCTTTACAAGTCAGGAGCTTTCCCAGAAGGGCCTCAGGTTGGCCGTGGTTCTGAGGTTTCCACTCCCTCCACCTTTGGAGTGGTTGATTGATTTCTGTGGCCAGGACAGGCTGTGCCCAGGTGTGGCAGGTGTGCTATTGACGTGCCTCTCTCTGTCTGTCGGTCTGTCTCTCCCTCCTTCTCTGGTTTCGCTTGGCTGGGAGGGGGGGCCTCAGAGGTCAGAGCACCCAGGATTGCTGTTGGGCAGTGGCTCCAGCCTCCTTTGGCTGGATGTTCCCCGGGCTCAGAGGAGCTCGTCTCTGTCGGGGAGGGAGGAGGCTGTCCCTTGGAAGAACAGGATCTGGGCTGATGCCAGAGATAAGGTTTGAGGGCGGAGGGAGAGGTTGAGCAATCTTGCCCTGGAAGCTGCGCTTAGGTCTTCTGACCTCTGTACCAGAGGCTTTCCCTCAATCTTGGGAAAAGGAACCAAACCCTCGAGCTTTCTGGCAGAGGGTCTTGGAAGCCAGCTCCAGCCAGCATATCTGGGTGCTCCGGGGAGGATAGGCCCGTGCCAGCCATCTCTGAACAGGGAACTGGGTGGTCGAGCTGGGAGGCACTCGTGTGTGGCTGGACTTGGCCTTTGCTCACAGTGCGTGTGAAGGAAGTTTAGCCATTCCTTTCCCTCATTCCCACTCACTGTGTCCCTGAAGCTCCAGCTACGCCTCTGGTGGAACCTTGGGCTTCCTTCCAGTGACGTCCATCAGCGTCTTTCCCAGGCACCGCCAGCTTGCAACATGGGGCTCCATGCCAGGGTGGCAGCGCTGGCATCCAGAGCCCTCCTTTGCCAGGAACGGGGCCCTGGTGGTCTCCACTCAGCCTCACCCGCTGAGGGAGGGTCTCCCTTTGGGGCCAGGCCAGGGCACTTTGGGGCATGTTCATGAATGGGTGCTTACACTTCTGACCCAGCCCATAGGAAAGTGCTCCGCACCACTGCCATTTCCCCCTGGTTCTTTTATCCCAGAGGCTGAGGGCGTCTTAAAGCAGCAGTGCCAGGGCCGTTCGGGCCACTGTCTTCTGCCCTGGCCATCGGGGTCGCAGATGCCATCGGTCAGGGCAATCTCCAGCCTCCCTGGGAGTCTCTGGGTTCTTCCCATACCTGTGTCCACGCAGTTCTTGCGGTAACTGAGCTTAGTCTGCAGACCCCGGCTTCCAGTTTCCCCAGTGGGACAGTGAAGCCAGGCTCTGCTGTTCCGGCTTCCATTCCCTGCCCCTCTTCGTCTTCAGTTTCCCACTCACTGCAACCCTTCTCCATCCTTAGAATGTTGCCCTTGGCCCTGAAGCATCAAAAGGGGACCAGTGCCCCTCCCCTCGTGGGGTTTAAGGCTCAATCAAATCATGGGAGTAGAGAGCCTGAGAGAACTCCAAAGGAACCTCCTCAGGGCTGGCAGGACAATTTATGGACACTTCTATGAGTCTGGTTAGGTCCAAAGGACCAGGCTGTATTTTACTGGGGCTTGATCGTGCTGAGGTTTTGTGCATTATTTGTTGCTGGTAGCACCAGGGTCCCACAGAGTCCTGGGCTGTCTAACCCTCATCCTAGGAAGGAGTGGTTGGAGTTTCTCTTCTCCCTCCTCCACCTCGTCCACCCGTTTCAAACTGAAATCAGAAAGAGCTTCAGTCCCGTCTGAGCGAAGCCAGGCTCCTCCATCCTGCATCGGAGGAGCTCAGAGGTAAGGAAGGGAGGAGGGAAGTCAGATGGGGAAAGAAGCGGCATCTCGGGGGGCTTGAACCCACCGCTGGGAGGGACTGCAGTCCGAACCCGGGCTTCGGAGCCTGGACCACCCTCCCCTGCAATAGTTCATCCTGGGGACACCCAAGGACTTCGAAAGGGGTCAGCCCTGCAGCCTTTTGGATCAGGTGTCCTCAGGCAGCCCTGGAGGTGTGTGTCCCAGGTTGATAATGTGTCCTCTTTGAACTTAGGGGAATGACGGGGGCCAGGGTCACTGGGGATGCTGGACTTCTCCTAGCTTTCAAGGTAGGGGCCTAGGGTACCTGCTGAGAAAGAACATGTCACAGCATCATCTTCATAGCAAATATGTAAGGTGCTCACCCCTTGTGCATCCTTGTGCTGAGGGCTTACATATATTAGCCTGTTTAATCCCCACAGTAATGCTGGGACGTCCATAATGTTACCAGTCGCCTTGAAAGCTAATGAGACAACTGAGGTGCAAGTAACCTGCCCGATGTGACCGAGCCAGTTCGAAACCCGGCAGCCTGGCTCCAGGGTCCACACTCTTCGCTCCCACGCTACACACTCCAGCGGGGCAAGATATGCCAGCCTGCTCCGGAGTGAGTCCAGATCCACCCTGCTCCCTCTGGAGACTCCGGAGTGTCCTTTCACTCCCCTCTCCTCAGCTGAGCGCCCTGCTCTTAGAAGAAGCAAAGTGAAACCAAACAAGCCGGGCAGATCTGATTTCAAGCCCAGCCGCTTCCTTCTGAGGCCCTGCAGGGGGGCCGTGGGGCCCCCACCAGCCACCCCTTCCCCTCTCCCCGCTCTTCCCTCTGTGATGGGAGCTGGAGAGCTGCTTTCTGCATTGAGTGGTGGGTTCTGAGGAAACACACATCTCCAAGAAGAGCCCTGTAGACAAGAGAAGTTGCTGAGTGTCCTTGAGTCGCTGGCTCCTCGCAGTCTTGGCTCCAGAGTTGTCGCTTCCTGTTACTCCCAGGTCACGGCTCCCTCCTTTTTCTTCCTTTCCTGAGCTGTTCTCCGTCCTCCCCCCCACCTGCCCCCCTATTGCCCTGCTGCCACCCCTCCTACTGCCTGGCCTGAGACGGTGGTTCTCGGATGAAGAGGGAGCGGATGCAGGGACAAAGATGAAGGGGCAGAGTGGAGAGAGTGGCTCGTTCCCAGCCCTTGAGGAGCAGGGGTTTCCGACAGGATGGACTTCCTAGAGGAGGGCAGGGGACTGTGGCCTGTATTTCCTGGGACTTCTCTGTCCATTCCCTGGAATGGTGGGGAATGGGGTGCCCAGACTAGGGAGATTTTAACCTGAAATTCTGTGCAAAACTGTGCATCCATTGTGGGTGTTCGTGCATCCATAACCTTCATCGGATCTTGGAGGCCTGGGCCCCAGCAATGCTTATGACCCTCCCGGATCCGCCTTCCAGTGGAGTGAGGAAAGTCCAGGATCAGCATGGGGCAGACAGCACCCTTCTCTCAGCTCTGTCCTTAGCAACCGTGTGACTTGGGTGAATCATTTAACTCCAAGCCTCAGTCTCTTATCTGCAAGATGGGGATGCTGATACTAACGCCATGGGATTCTTGGGAAGAATACATGAGCTAAAGTTTTTCAAATGCCTAGCACGGTGTATGATTTGGGGGTGGGGGGAAGTTTACTAAAAATTAAGCATCTGGCTTGATGCAGAGTAAGAAGCTCAGTGAAGCTTAGTTCCCTTTCTCATACTTCCTCCGTGACCTATGGTCCAGGGAGGGCATGTCCACCTGAGCTCCGTGGCTGGGATCTAGGATGTCGTTTCCCAGAGTGAGTTCCTCAGCACACAGTCTTGATAGCTATCGGAACCTACGCAGGAAAATGTTATTCCACACCTTTGTTCATTACAAGTCACTGTTTAAGCTAGACTGGACATCCTCTTCTATGTTTTCCAGCAATTAAAGACTTTTAATTTATCCAAGCCATAGTGTGTTTTCCTACAACTCAGCCTGGCTAGGTTATTGGCATCGTTTTTCGATAAACTGTAAGAACTCTAAATTCTCTAAGATGATTGAGAATATCTGTATGAATCCAATGGTAAGCATCATGATTAATGGAAATACCCTAGAACAGCACTGTCAATGGGAATACAATGCTAGCCATGTATGTAACTTGAAGTTTTCCAGTAGCCACCTTTTGAAAACTAAAGACAGGTGAAATTAATTTTATTCTGTTTTATTTAACTCAGTGTATCCAAAATATTGTTGTTTTACCATATAATCATAAACATATTGAGGTATTTTACATTACATTTTCATACAAAGCCTTCAAAATCCAGTGTGTATTTTACACCTATAGCACATCTCAATTTGGATGGTACATTTCATAAATACTCAATCAGAATTTGGATCTCATAAAATTGACAGTTGAAAAGTAGAGTCACACACTCAAGTTGTTTTTAACATCCTTAAGGTTTCCAGTAATTGAATCAAGCATCAGTTTTTAAATTTAAAATAATTAAAATAATTTAGTTCCTTAGTTGCACTAGCCACATTTCAAGCGCTCAACAGCCCTGTGTGGCTAGTGGCTACTGTACCAGATGAGTGAGGCTTAGAATATCAGTGTAAATGCAGGAACAGAGATGTTCCACGTCAGGAGTATTATTCAACATTATATTGGCAATTGTAGCAAATATAATAAGATGAGAAAAAGGCATGGAGGAGGCAGAATGATTATTAGTTGCAGTTGGTGGGTCTGTCTACTTGCAAAGCCCAAGAGATTCAATCATAGGGTTGATTAGAGTATGTAAGACCATGAGAGTTTAGTAGAGTGGCCATTAAATATATATCAATTAAAAAAAAAGTGGCTTCCCCATATACCAGCCATAACCAGTCAGAGACATAGCTGTGTAAAAGGAGAAGGATGCAAAACCCACTCACAATAAGAGACCATAAAATGACCCAGAATAAACATGAAAAGAAACGTGTAAGACTTGTAGGAAGAAAAGCCACAGGATTTACTGGGGAATGTCTAAAAGACTTGGATAAATGGCTATGAGCACTTGACCTTGCGATAAAGGCAATTCTTCCCAAATTAATTTCTTGTTTCCTTTCAATTCCAAAATAATGCCATCAGGACTTCTTTTGGAATTTAATAAAATGTTTCTAAGTCCATCCAGAAGACTAACTACATTGGAAAAGCAAGGGGATTTTAGAGAAAAAGTTAAAAGAGGGACTAGATACTCAAAACACATTTTACAGAGGGAGAGTGTAGACCGGTTTAGGAATAAACAGAGACTAATGAACAGATGAGGAAGTCTGGAAATAGACCCGTGTGTAGGTGGGTGATGTCTGTGTATAAAGAATTTAATATCTGATAAAGGTAGAATTTGATGCTTTACTCATATTTTATAACAATTCTATAAGGAATCAGTAACTAACATTACTTTATTGTTATATTTAATTTTTTAGTCTATTTTAAATGACCCACAATTTTATGAGCCATAGACGTCTTTATTCTGGTGTAGTTCCTTCTAGTATTTTTCTCTATGAGTAGTTTTTAATTAATACATTACACGGTAGTTTTAGAAGTGAATATTTTCATAAACTTGGGAGCAGGGAAGGTCTTTGCTTCATGGTATTAAAACCAGAAACCATAAAACAGATTTAACCACGTCAAGATTAACAAGCACTCTACAGAAAAGAAAACACCATGAACACCACCATGTAAATGGATGTATGACGGATTTGCAGAGATATTTGCAAAATATGGTAGTCAAAAATCTTAATAGCTTTAATATTTTATTTTTTTGTAAAGATTGGCACCTGAGCTAACATCTGTTGCCAATCTTCCTTTTTTTCCTTCTCCCCAAAGCCCCCCAGTCCCTAGTTGCATATTCTAGTTGTAGGTCCTTCTGGTTGTGCTATGTAGGGTGCCGCCTCAGCATGGCCTGATGAATGGTGCTGGGTTGGCGCCCAGGATCCAAATCGGGGAAACCCTGGGCCACCGAAGTAGAGCAGGTGATCTTAACCACTTGGCTGTGGGGCCGGCCCCAGCTTTAATGTTTAAATAAGTCCTACAAATCCATTGGAAAAAGTGAAGGCCCCTCCACCCCTAGAAAAATGGGCAAAAGGAATTTACAAGAGAAAGGATACAGGTGCCAATAATACATATTTTTTCAATGCTCACCCTCATTAGTAATTAAAGAAAAGCAAATTACAAGTCTGTGAGGGTGGTAGTGGTGGTTGTGTTTTTGTTGTTTTCAATTCAACTAAATAAAATATAACGCCTGGTGTTGGACACCATCAGCCCATGTTGGTGGATCTGTAACTTGGTAAAACCTTCTGGAGAACGAGTTAACAATAAGAAAGTAATTTAACTCGCTTCAAAGTATGTGTCCTTGGGAAATAAGGACTTGCTCAGACTGAGCGGAAGGATGTTCGTTACAGAGTTCAGACGAAACTGAACCACAGCCTAACGTTCCTCGGTGGCCCAGTGGATGCACAGTTTGAGATATTAGGACTTAATCTAAAATAATGTAGTGTTATTTATTAACATGTAGACATTTTCACCCTCAATGTGAACAATGCCATGGAAAGTACAGCTTGCATAATAAGGGGAGGAAATGTCGAAAGCAGCACTGTCCTATAGAAGCACCATGCAAGTCTCAGATAATTGACATTTTTAATAGCTACATTTTAAAAAGTAAAAGGAGATAGGTGAAATTAACATTTTATTTAAAACTGGGGCCTTGTTCACTTTCTCTTCCCTCCAGGAAGCGGCTAGCAAAGCAGAGGATGTTTACCTCCAGGAAATGGGATCTGCCCCGGGGAGGGCAGTAGCACCTTGGGCCAGGGAGCCTGGTCTGGATTGGCTGGCAGGCAGGAGGGTGGAGCAAGCGCAAGGTAGCTAGCCTGGCAGGTTTTAGGAGACAGGTTGGGTCAGGGTTCTGGGCTTCCTTCTTTGCAGCTGGAACTACAGGGTGGAGAATGGAGCAGCACAGGCATGAGAAACATTTG